AGGCATTTGTTGCATCCAGTGGGGACATAATTACGGATTATAATGACTTATTCTTTTTACGCGTTGCATTGCATCATGCCGTGTAAACATAAAACCATGTCTGCATTTGTGATTGGAGAAATGACAAACTACAAACGCTACTCTACACTGCTCAAAACTCGCGTTTGAATCGTCAGTGGCAAATTCTTTAAATATAAAAAACTTACTTACAGTCTGTGAGTCAGAACAGCCGGCATTGTAGTCTACTCTACCAGGATCAGGAAACAGTCCTCCATAAAATTCGCTGCACACATCGGAATATTTGGGTTGAACTGTTCTGGAACAGTGTTGTAAATACAACTTAACCACTGATTTCTAGTCGTGTCCTCTTTTGGAAGGCCAAACTAAGTAGTTTCGCTTTCACAACTAAACACAGCGTCATACACGGCGGGCTAGAGTGAGCTTGGGCTCACGTTATGCAAATCTTCCCACATCGTGACGTAGACATGTGGGGGCGTGTTAGAACGAGGCGTTTTAGGTAGGCGTGGTTGACTCTTAACTTTTATAAAGAATATCTCTTTGGATTTGAGACTTTATTCTTCGCAACTTTACAGATCTTCTTTATGCACCAACAGCTTGTAACACTCCAAAGAGAAAGGAAAAATTGAAATCGCATCATATGACCCCTTTAAAAAGAATGTTCACCCAAAACCTAAAATTCTGTCATCATTTACTTTCCCTTATGGCGTTCCAAATGTGTATGATTTTCTTTCTTTTGCAGAACACAAAAGAATATATATTATATAGTTTTGGTGACCGTTGATTTACATTACGTGGTGAGAAAAAACAACACTGAGATACTGAGTCGTGTCATACAAGTTTGGTTGAGTAAATAATGACAGAATTGTCATTTCCCTTTGTTTACTGTAATTATTTTCAGTGTATTTTACAGTAATTTTTTTATAATGATACACTCTTAAAAATAAAAGTTCCAGACTTGGGGTTTCATAGTGATTCAATAAAACCATTTGTGATCCTGGAGCACAAAACCAGTCTTAAGTCGCTGGGGTATATTTGTTGCAATAGCCAACCATACTTTGTATGGGTCAAAATTATTGATTTTTCTTTTATGCCAAATCATTAGGATATAAAGTAAATTTAGTAAATTTCCTACCATAAATATATCAAAACTTAATTTTTGATTAGTAATATGCATTGCTAAGAACTTAATTTGGACAACTTTAAATGCGATTTTCTCAATATTTAGATTTTTTTACAACCTCAGATTCCAGATTTTTAAATAGTTGTATCTCGTCCAAATATTGTCCTATCATAACAAACCATACATCAATGGAAAGAATGGAAAGCTTATTTATTCAGCAATTTCCAAAAATTGGCCCTTATGACTCATGGTTTTGTGGTCCAGGGTCACATTTTTGGTTCCCCAATGAAGCCTTCAATGAACAATTCTTAAAAGAACCATTTTTTATAGTGTGAATAATCTAAAGTGTTTTGATAATCTAAAGAACATTTTTACACTATAAAGATCCTTTTGTGCATAGAAAGGTTGCATGAATGTTCAAGGTTCTTCTTGGAACCATCAATGACATAAAGAACAGCTATTTTTTTAAATTGTATGCACCCACACGGCACAATTACATTAAAGATCGTTGGAGTTACACAGACACTTGGATCTATAGAGTATATTAATGCAGATTGCTTGAATTGGATGGACGGGATGCTAATGAGAAATAAGTGGAGGCGTGTGGTGCTAACAGGATTAGTGGGTGCTATCTTTAACCCCGCGCTGTCTCGCCCCTCTGTGGACGTAGCGCCTTGAGCCACAATAACCATGACAATCCACTCCATTCATCCAAAAACTCAACCCAACTTACATACCCTATCGTTCCTTTACTTCGACGTGTGAATCGATGTCTCTGTCTCTCTTAGCCTCAGCATGGCACTTTGTACATGGCACTTTGTTACTCTCCATTAAAAATGGATTAGTCTTAACAGTCTGCAACAACTAGACTCAAACCAAGTGGGTTGGATTGCAGCAGGTTAGGTCAAAGGAGACAGATAAAATAAATAATAATCAGAAAGTGCAAATAAAGAGAGGGATGTGATGAAAAGAGGTGGTTATGTAACGGTGTGTGTTTGTTTGTTTGTAGTCAGAGGGAAGGATAGGGTGCAAGAGAGCATGACACAGCCACAGCACTCAGAACAGAAAAAAAACTAAATTGTCCAGGAAAAAGTATGAGAGAGAAAGAAGGCGGAGACACAAGGAACTGGAGATGCATAGTGAATGAGAGGAAGAGCAATGAATAAAATCCTCAAGGGCCAGAGTTGAGAACCCCTAACATCCTATTTAAATCTTCACCTTTATCAGCTTCTTCGCTTCACAATGGTAAGATGATAATACCAGATGACATCAGATTGATGCCACCAGAATATAAAACATGTATGACCATATTCAAATGCAAATTCACTTAAAAGCTATTTCACATGGTATATCGGTGAAAAAAATATTATTCACAAACCAAATGAATTCCAGTTTAACAAATTTGTGCCATGCTGTGAGTACAATGCAAGAGAGCATGACAGCCACAGCAGTCAGAACAGAAAAAGACTAAACTGTCCAGGGAAAAGTGTGAGGGAGAAAGAAGGCGGAGACACAAGGAACTGGAGATGCATAGCGAATGAGAGGAAGAGCAATGAATGAAATTGGAATTTGAAATGAACTTAAATCATGGAAAGAATGTGAAAACTATAATGACATATGTGAAGAAATAGCAACAGTTTTATGTCTGAAGTTAAGTATCACTCCAGTTAGACCAATCGTCGCTCTAATAAACGTGCTGTTATGTTGTACATGCAAAACTGCTAAATATAGAGCAGCCAATAAGCAACAGTGGGGCATAGAGAAAGAGAGAGAGAGAGAGAGAGAGATGCATGCTACGGGAAGAAACAGCGCAGAGAGAGCAGGAGAGATGATGTCATCCCTCTACCCTGTTCCTCTCCTCATGATCTCCCTTTACCCCTCCTCTCCATCCTTCTCTCACTCTCATTCTCTCTGTGGGTCTCTTTCTGTGGCAGTGTGATTTTAATGAGTAAACTCTTTCTGGTTAAAGAGTTATTACTGCATTTCGGTGGCACTTGAAAGTCTGTATTTTTGAACCACCAAAACCCACAAAATAGCAGAGCAAAAATACTGCACAACAAAACAGGAACCTTAAACTTTCACGTTTCACATGAGCTTTTTTGATGAAATGCTGACGGCAAATTTGGAATTCCACTGAAACTGAACCTCAACACCAGTACAGGAAGCTATAATATAAAACAAATAAATATGTATAATACTATATTATAATATCTTTCTAATTAACGCTATTAATTAAGCTCTAAGGTTAAAGCATGACTTAAATAAATATTTAATCATGTATATTTATTGACAGAAAATGGTATACTATAAAAAATACCATTTTGGTATGTTTTTACAATACTACAAAAAAATATTTCATATAAATGCTGTCCTTTTAAACTTTCTATTCATTAAAGAAACAAAAATGTATCATCATTACCACAAATATATTAAGCAGCACAACTGTTTTCATTGATAATAAAAAGCAATGTTTCTTAAGCACCAAATCCGCATATTAGGATGATTCCTGAAAGATCATGTGACACTGAAAATTGAGCAATGAATTTGTAATGACAGAAAATGGTATACTATAAAAAATACCATTTTGGTATGTTTTTACAATACTACAAAAAAATATTTCATATAAATGCTGTCCTTTTAAACTTTCTATTCATTAAAGAAACAAAAATGTATCATCATTACCACAAATATATTAAGCAGCACAACTGTTTTCATTGATAATAAAAAGCAATGTTTCTTAAGCACCAAATCCGCATATTAGGATGATTCCTGAAAGATCATGTGACACTGAAAATTGAGCAATGATGCTGATAAATCAGCACCATAAATTAGACTTTAAAATATATAAAAATAGAAAACAGTTATGTTATTATTAACAAAATGTTAATATTATTTAATTAATACATTACTGATATATTACTATGATATTACGCAGAATTTATATTATTAACACAAAATCATTATACAGATACAGTGGGGCAAAAAAGTATTTAGTCAGCCACCAATTGTGCAAGTTCT